TCTCCCCACCCTCTGTCTCCCAGTTCTCCTTCCTGATGACGGAAGCCCTGCTGATATTCTCCCCGGAGATCTCGCCGCTCCGCTCCTTCTCCCGCAAAGTCAAAGTGCGGGTGCACTGGGCCCTCCAGCTGCTGGCCCTCCTCTGCGCCCTGCTGGGGCTGGGCATCATCACCTACAACAAGCACCTGAACGGCAAGGCCCACTTCGTCACCTGGCACGGCCTGACAGGGCTGCTGACCGTGCTGTACGCCACCGGGCAGTGTGCCGGGGGGGTGCTCCTGCTCTACCCCAAGCTGATGAAGAACTGGACGCTGGCCAAGCTCAAGCTGTACCACGCCACCTCGGGGCTGGTGGGCTACTTGCTGGGCTGTGCCAGTCTGATGCTGGGCATGTGCTCCTTGTGGTTCACCACCTCAGTCACCAGCGTCTCCTGGTACCTCGCCATGCTGTGTCCCCTTCTCACCAGCCTGGTTATCATGAACCAGGTGAGCAATGCTTACCTGTACCGCAAGCGGAGCCAGCACTGAGGGCTCGGCGTGGATCCAAACTTCCCCTGCGCGAGCCAGCGAGGCCGGGGCTCGTCCCCGCAGGTCCCTGTGGGTGTCCCCTGCTCGCACAGGGTCTCCTCAAAACTAGATTTCTGTCTACTCGTGTCTCGTTAGTCCTGGATTGTCTGTAGTGTCTCGTCTCCCAGGGAGCAGCTACGATGTGCGTGACACCGAGCGGGCAGGAGCTGCCCATCTTGTGCCTGCCTCGGTGGGGATGTTTCCCAGCACAGGTAACGCTGCTGGTCCCTGCAGCAGCTTGGTGCTCGGTGCTGGGAACCAGAGGGGTCACTCAGGATTCCTGCTCCTTTTCTCTTCCCTTGCCACCCGGGGCTGCTTTGGAGCAGGGAGGACAGGAGCTGTCGCATTCCTGGCGAGGAGGGCAGAGAGGCCCTGCTCACCCGGGAGGCTGCAGCGGGCACTGCACTGCCTCTCCTGTCGCAAAGGGCAGCTTGGCCAGTAAAAGCGTAGCACACGGTTGTGGCTTCAGCCACGGGAGGGCTGAAGCAGGGTGGCAGCACCCAAAGTGTCCATCCCCATGGCACAGCTCTGCACAGAGAGTCAGGGGGGTCTCTGGGACCAGTACAGACAGCCCTGCCCACTGGCTGTGGCTCGGGGTACCCAGCACCACGCACAAATCCTTCCCGCAGGCTGGGACAACGAAGCTTTAGCCTGGTGGGAGGTGGGGGAGGTCATTTTACAGAGCAAATTACCAAGCTGAGATGCAAACCGGCGGCCTGCGAAGGCGTTTTGTCCTCCTGAGGGGTACAGGGACCAGTGCGAGCACGGCAGGAGCGGGGCTCGGGACAAACCCTCGAGCCAGCCTGCGAAACAGCCCTCGGGAAGGCAGAAAGCCTCTTGTCTTGCCAGCACAACAGCCTTCCCTCCAGCCTGCCCGCCCTCATGGCAGCTGGGCGCTGCGAGGCTCCACCTGCTGCAGCAGCTCCTCCGTGGCACATATCCTGCTCCCAGCAGGGCCGGAGAGCTGGAAGCAGCTCCCAGGCTGGGAAATTCCTCTGTATCCAGAGCTTTTATTCAATAAAGATTTCAGGCAGCTACAGCGCAACGAGCCCTGTTTACTGCCTGGGGAAGGGGTTTTTGGGGTGCCGGCAGATATCCCCACCTCCCCAGCTTGCAAAGAGTCTCTCCCAACCTGCTGGAAGCACCCAGAAAGAAACCCCCTCTCCATACGCCTGTGCACGAGCCCCTGGGAGCAACTCTGTGCCCAGTCCCTCTGCTGCAAGAGCCAACTCTTTCAAAGAACTCTTTATTGATAACGAAATGTCTATTTTTTTTTTTTTCCCCAATTGACAAAACCTTCTCATGTGGTCCTTTAAAAAAATAATCACGACACCATTGACCCACGTCCCGGGCTGGGGACTGCCTGGGGATCAGGAGCTGCGAGGAGGCTATCACAGGGAGCATCCTCTCCAGCCAGGAAAAAAAAAATAACCCAAAACAAAGCCCATCAACACAGAGGGAGGGAAAGAGAAGGGGGAGCCCATATTCTACCTGCAGGAAAGAAAACCCACTGCTGGAGGAAGCAGCGAGAGCCCCATTGTAAAAATTAATTCCAGCTTCTAGTGTAATCTGACAAACGGATTAACCGGGGAGCGGCCGAGGACACCGGCTCCTGGCGGGACCGGCCTTGGGGACAGGAGAGGAAGGAGGAGAGACCCCCTGCCATGTGAAAGGCCAGAGCTGGCAGTGCCAGACCACTGCCGAGAGGGGCTGGGCAGCCCCCTCCTGTCCCCCCCCACACCTGGCAAACCTCTCACTGGTCATGGCAAGCTCCTGCCAGGCCAGAGGGGATGCTCCCCATAGGAAAAGGATTCAGAAAAGAAACTTGGCCAGCCTTCCTGTTCCCTCAGTTAGGGACAAAACTACCTTCAGAAAGTAGGAAATAAGTGTTGAGTGCTCTGGCCAACCCCCAGTGAAGAGGAGAAGCGAGGAAGCGCCACTGACTTTGCTCTCGTGTGGGGAGGGGGCCAGCTGGCTGTGTGTGGGGCACAGCTAGGGCTGGATCAGCCCCATGTCCCCATCCTGGAGCAGCCCCCACTGCTGGCACTGATGTCCACAGCCTGTCCTGCGCCGAGGGGAGCAGCTCGAGGAGCCCCTGTCCTTCATCCTGGGCGCCCGGTGCTGGCCGCAAGCGGCAACGAAGCATTGGAATGAGGTAGCCCCCCTGCCTCTGCCGCGGGAGGAGTCCCTGCTCCTCGCTGAGCGTCCCGGCTGCGTGGGGGGGACACGAGGGGGGTTAGCAGCTCTCCAACGGAGACAGGGTGGGGAAGGGGGGGCGGCGTGTCGGCTGGTCACAGCTGGGACGGGGCATCCTGGAAGGTGATGAGGCTGGACTCCTGGCCGGCGCCCTTCCCGGCCGTGCCAGAGTCGGGCAGCAGCGGGCTGTCAGCCTTCGTCACCGTCACTGCCTCCTCCTCGTCGTCCTCCATGCTAGGCCAGGCCGACTGGTCCTCCACGCGCTTCAGCCGCTCGTTCAGGGCCTTCAGGGCCAGCTGCCTGTGGGGCAAGGGCAGATGGGTGTGTTAACCCCGGCTCCAAGGGGCAGGGCAGGGGTTAATGGCTCTGCCCCAAAGGGTGCTGCGTGAGCCCATCCCTGGCTCCTTCCTGGCAGGAGAGGGTGGATTCAGCAGCACCAGAGATGATCCGGGGCACCTGGGACTTCCCCACAGAAACCCACTCAACGCTCCCTGACAAACCTATGGAGTTTTCATGCCACGTGGTGCGCTCAGGGGCTGTCAGACGGCCCACAGGCCGCTCCGGGAATGGGAAGAAAGGCATAAAACAGGGCAGGGGAAGGCGGAATGCCAACGCCTCATCCAAACCATCCTGCCGGGACTCAGGAAGGCGAAGGCCAGCTGTGCGGGAGGGCTGGGGCGTGGGGCTGACTCAGCGCCTTCTCGGTACGGCGATGACGGGTGTGGGGCAATGGCACTTCCCCAGGCAGCTGCCGACCACCTTCTATAGGGAACCCTGACCCCAAACCCCGCCTGCCCCTTCCCCATGATCTCACGGCTCCTCCCCTGCACTTCCACTGCTGCTCTGTGTTTGGAAGAGTAGGACAACGTCCCACCAGCCCCTGAAACGCTCCCCACCACCTCTGCAGCAAGGATGGCAGCCCTCAGCAGACCCCCTTGGTCCATCCTGCACCCAAATCTCCCCGCTCCTCCTTGTCTGGGTTTTAAACCTGACCCTCACTGCCCATAAACGTGATCCCCGTGGAAGCAAGGCGAGCGGTACCTTCTTCTCTCGGCGTCCTGGGGGTCTGTTCCTGGCAGGCTGATGGTGATGGAGGACGGGGCACCCACATCGTAGCGTTTGACTGTCTTGCGGCAGACCTTCACCTTCACCAAGATGCTGTGCACCAGGTTGGCCACCAGACCCACCACGGGCTGCAGGATCTCAGGGAAGAAAGTGGCAAAGGCGAAGTGATCAGACATGTCTCCACGGCCTCTACTGTGCCGCTGGTAGAAACGGAGATAGACCCAGCTGGAGAGGAGCCCAAAGCCGTACGAGGCCAGTACATTGCTCTGGACGAGGGCGGCGAGCCGCAGCAGAGCCAAGAGAAGGAGCAGGAGCATGGGGACCGCCTTCATTCTGACCTGGGGCACCTTCAGGACGGTGCTGTCCCCCATCGTCTGCTTGAGGGCCACCAAGACGCCCCCGAGGAAGCCCAGCCCGCCGTGGATGCGGACGGCGAACAGGTAGGCAAGGTGGAAGGAGGCCACGTAGGTGAGGAAGTAGGCGAGGGCTCCCAGGAGCCCCACCGAGATGTTCACCACCGCGAAGAAGACCAGCAGCTCCAGGGCTCCCCAGAGGGGCTCCAGCAGCCGGCCTGCTACTCCCAGCGTGGCCAGGCTGGCCGCCAGGCCCCAGGCTCGGTCCTCCACCAGCCCCTGCGTCAGCAGCGTCCAGATCCAGAAGTTGGGGGGCAGGAGGTATCCCGGGGTCACCCCCAGCCCGTAGGCGGTGTCCAGTCCGAAGGAGAGCAGGTAGAGGAGGACGACGGCGGCGCTCAGCGACTTCACCACCACGCTGGTGCCGGCCAGCGCCGCCAGGAAGTGCTGCCGGGCCACCGGCAGGTACCGCCGCATCTTTGGCCCCCGCCGGCGGGACGGGGCTGCCCCGCGG